TTTTTTAAGTTATTATTTTTTCTCCAATGCCTTATTTTGTTCCCCTATATTCCTCCTATAAGTGAAACCATCTGATACTTAAGTCAGTTATTCCTCCTTTATTTCACTAAGCACAATCCCTTCTAGCTTCATCCATGTTGTTATGAATGGCATTAGTTTATCTTTTGATTGCTGAATAGTATTCCAATACGATTCCATTGTATATATATACCACATCTTCTTGATCCAGCCAACTATTTTGGGGCATTTGGGTTGTTTCCAAGTCTTACTTATTGGAAGGTATCTTTTTGAATTAGTGCTTTTGTGTCCTTTGGGTAGATCCCTCGTAGAGGAACTGCTAGGTCATATGGTAGCTCCATTTTTAGTAGTCTGAGGAACCTCTATACAGGTTCCTATCATGGTTGGACCAGTTTGTATTCCTACCAGCAGTGTAAGAGAGTTTTTTTTTTTTTTCATCACATCTTCATCAACATTTTTTGTTGCAAGTTTTTAAAGTATGAGTCATTCTTACTGGTGCACGGTGCTATCTCATTGTGGTTTTGAGTTGCATTTCCCTGATTCTGAGGGATGTTGAACATTTTTTTCATATACTTGTTGGCCATTTGCATTTCCTTTTTTGGAGAAGTGTCTTTTAAGTTCTTCCACCCATTTTTTGACTGGACTGTTAATTTTGTTTTTGTTGAGTCAATTGATTTCTTTGTATATCTTTGTGATCAGTTCCTTACATTTATATGAAAAATTTTCTCACCCTCAGTAGGGTGTCTCTTTGTTTTGGCTAATGTCTCTTTGACTGTACAGAACCTTTTTAATTTGATGTAATCCCAGCTGTTTATCTTTTCCTTCACTTTCTTTGTTTTGGGGAAATGAGTCTTTTAAACATGTTACTAAGATGTATGTCTTGTAGTATTTTACCTATATTTTCTTCTATATATTTATGGTTTTAGGTCTTATGTTCAGATCTTTTATCCATGTTGAGTTGACTTTTGTGCGTGGTGTGAGGTAGTGGTCTAGTTTCATTCTTTTGTTTTCGATGGTCCAGTTCTCCCAGCTTCACTTGAACAAACTGTCCTTGTTCCATTGCAAGTTCTTTGTTCCTTTGTCAAAGATTAGTTGTCCATATGTATGTGGCTTTATTTCTTGGCTTTCTATTCATTTCCATTGGTCTTGAAAGTCTTTTAAAAATGTCTAACAAAATTATTCATATGACTGATAAGCAATAAATTAGATAGCCCTTTATTAGTATCTAATTTTTTATAGGGGACAAAGGCTCTGTGTTAGACAGGTTCTGCCTTAGCACCCAGGCATCTATACTGCCAGTTCATATTTCCAAGCACCAGTCACCAGGTGCCCCCTATCATGGTAGTGATGATTCTGAGGGGCTTAGAGTAGGTTAAAAGAATATTGAGTCTGATCTTGGTGACCAAAAACCCAGGAGGAGAAGAAGGAATGATGTCCTGGGACTCATTGTTTCTTTATCTGTCCACAGATAAAGTCCAGGTCATCCACCAGTTAGGTGGAAAGAGAGACCAAATATTACTGGAAAACCTTAATCGGTACAACAAGCATCTCTCTAAGATCTTCCCTGAAGTTCCAGAAAGGTGGACCTCCCAGCCGGTTCCTGAAGCAGGTAAGCAGACATTACCCAATGATAAAAATCAGCTATTTATTTAAGGTCCCTGTTTTCAGATTGGGGCATCATCAGCATCTAGGGGAGTCTTTTCCTACCAACTAAAATTCATCTCATAAAATTACAAAACACTACCTGTAACTAAGAAAAGTCTGAACATCCATTCAGTTGAAATTAGATAAGACATAGATGTAAACAAGTGATTTGAGGCCAGTAATTGCCATTGAGGTCGGTCTTATCCCACTGCTTCCAGAGGAAGTAGAGCAAACCCCTGCTCTTCTCCCCTGGGTTGGTTCTACCCTCCCACTGCATTTTTAGGCCCGTATGTGCTACTAGGTCGAGGGTTGTTTATTTTTCACAAGGATACCATTCTTCACTCTGCAAGACAGATGGTAAAGGGAGATGGTCAAAACTGAGCTTATGAAACAAAAAGTGCCCACCCTCCAAGAGACTACATTTCTATTTCTAACTACATTTCTATTTCTAACAACTCTTTTCTTTGAAGTGTCACTGTTCAGATGGGCCCCTTGGTGTGCAGAACCTGAGGGCAATAGTGTCACCATCTTTCTACCATCAGCTCCAAACCTCTGGCTTCGGTGCCTCCTGGCTGGGCAACACCACTAGAAAAGATGCTAATGATGGCAGCTATGGGCAGCTTCCTCCAGACTTTTGTGCCCTCCTTTGTTGAGGATCTTGTTACAATTTAGTACCAAAGTACCCCTGCAGAGTCTTGGATTGGGTCTTGGCAAGTCAACTTCCAGGTCTTTAGTTGCTTCATTAAAACTGACATACTGATTGATCATTGCTACAGAGATGTACTTTTGTGACACTTACTGATATTTTTGTGGTATTTATTGATACCCAGGTGATTTTATGACCATGATTTTTAAATCAGTAAGTACTATACAAGTTCAAAGCCTTATTATTACTATACAACCGTCCCACAAGCCAACTGTATTCTCCATTTCCTCTCCATTTCCTCTCCTCTGAGAACAGGTAAAATCCAGAGATAAAAATTAATCAGTGGTTGCTGGGGTAGGTGAGGCGAGAAATAAAAATAGGATGATAAAAGTATTCTAAAATTGGACAGTGGCACGGAAGTTGCACAACTGTATGAGTGTACTTAAAATCACCCAATCAGATACACTTCAAAAAGATAAATTTTACAGCATGTGAATTCTACCTTGATAAGGCTATTTTATTTAAAGTCCTCTGAGCATCCTACTACTGCACGGAAACTTCACCAACAGCCTCACTCGCTTCCCAGGCACTTCTCCCCAGGGGCCTTGGCCTTGGAATCCTGCCCTCCTTTCCCCCAGAAAAATGAATATTTAATGAGCTGATGCTGTAGGATTCAAGTTTAAAATAGTATCTGAAATTGATCTTGGAGAACTAAAGTCAGAATAGCAATACATACACTCTTTCTTGTAACCACTTTATTTATCTCTCATCTTAGGAAATATTAGGTATGAAAGACCCTGCGGACCAAAGGGAAAAATCCTGGGGTTAGTGTGGTAGATGTATTTCCCCCTCTCCACGTGAGTGAATTGAAAAATGTAAATGATAACTCAAATGATGAAGATTCTCAAGGGGGTATTTATTACCAGTTTCCCGTAAATTATGATATAAAATTCTTTAGTGTGGCCAGATCATGAAAGTTCCTATATATCAAGCAGACTTTATGCTATATCACAAAGGCACTTTTTCTTTCTGCTAAGTGTACTGAGCCTTTTGTCCCATACCAAAAAAACAAACAACAACAACAACAAAAAACCTAAAAGGTTGTTATGTGCTTCCTTTACAAGATGCAAAATAGCAAGTGGATGTGTTTCTGCCTGTCTGGAACTCAAAATACTGCAAGTAAAATTAGTACTGACAGTGTGTGTTTATTCCCACAGAGACTGTGTCAGAGATGTAAAAAAATCATTTTAACTCCCTGAGCAGCAGGATATAGAAGTCATGGGGTTCATTTACCAATTTCTCACCTCCTTGGGAGGGATTTCAAGCAGCCTGAGAAGTGAGGGAGTACCATGTGGCCAAGTGTCATCTATATTCACTGAGAGCTGACCTGCTGGAGGTGGTTCTGTAGCTTCTGGCTATACACGGCCCACACTGTGATGGATCCCTTAGGAGAACAACTGAGTTTCCCCAGCATGAATAAACTGAGTGAAGGCCATTTAGAAGGTATCTTCTGTGTGGGCAAAAATCTGAGCTCAACTGCCCTGGAGCCTCAAAAGACTCTTTCTTTGTACATTAGAAGACAGAATGATACTGCACACCTAACTCAAGGAAAGAACTGATGCAGCGGAATCTAAAATTGTAGGAAGTTAGAATTAAATCTTAGAAGAAATAGGTGGTTGATAGTGATAGGTTACAACAAAAGTCTGATAAGCAAAGTGGCATATAGTGAATCAGTAATATGGAAATGTTCTTTCTTATCTCCATCTGGCCTTTTCCACACAACTACTGAGGCTTTCTTAATCTGACCCTAGGGAGAATAGTAAGTCTAGAAAACATGAATAATATTTTCATATAACAATTTATATACTTTTTTTCTATTCTCAAATTTCCAATTGTTACTTGTCATAATTAGGAAAAACTCACATACTAAAATCTTTAAAATTTATCAACTCTGTAACACCATTCCGCCTTCCAACTTAAAAATGGATAGAAAACTTAATAAATTAGGAATGGTCACTTACATTCTACTTTAAATAGCAGTATATAAAATGTCGAGTTTTATGAGCAAGCATTATGACATAGCAACATGTCTATGTGCCTACAGCTTTATTAAACTTACAAAAGGTTTTTCACATGTCAGTTTTTCTCCCCCATCATTATGGATATGTGTCGTCAACATATGGGACTTAACTCAGTTTCCTATGTAATGAAAAGAGAGTTCACTGTTGAGTTTTGTTTCACTTCAGTGTTAGGCAGGAAGGAAGTGTGGTGCTAGCTGGGAATGCAGGCCCTCGCAGTGAGCTGAGACTCATGCTGCCATACTGTAGTTTGCAGGCCTGTGAAAGGAGCCCAGCGCTGGACTGCTTTGCCCACTCCGGTCAAGGAATTACTGCAAGCGGGTGAGGAGGATGTGCCCAGGAAGACGAGGAAGAAGCAGGGGGAATCCCTGAAGGAGAATGTGACTTGGGAACTGGTGGCTCTGAGGAAGATGCTGCGGGAATGGAAGATTGGCTGGGCGCTAAGTGAGTGAAGGGGTGCAGGGGAGGGTGACCTCTGTGTATTTGTGTTGGGGAGGTACTCTTCTTGGACTAGTGATTTTCAGTCTTTAAATCTCTCTCTTTTGTGAAACATAAAAATCTGGTTGCCTCATCAAGGCTAGCCTAGGTAAGAGTCTTATACGTTAGCTGCAATGTGTGTGGCTGCTCTTTGCTCAGGTGGATTTTTGTTTTAAAAAAAATTTATTTTATTTGGGTTAAAAAAAAAGATTTAGTTATTAATGCATACAAGAACTGGGGTGTAGGCCAGAGTTGTGGTGGGGTGGGGGCGGGTGATAGGATTCATCAGAGGCAGTGGAGCAGAATAGGTGGGTCTTCTGAAATCCACTGTTGAGGGGAACAGTGGGTGGGTCAGGAGAAGTCTGCTGAGCCATGTGGGTCAGCTCCCTGGCGGGGGATGGAACTCCTGCTGCAGTGGCTGCTGATAGCTTCCTAAGTGCTTACTTAACCACTTGTGCAGCTTGCACCACTTGAGGCCCCTCAGGTGGGTTTTACTTAAGGAATTAGTAAAAACTCACTACACTGAGACTTCATAGAAGTCTTCATAGGAACCCTCATCTTACTAGCTGCTGAAACCTTATGCTAATTGAATGAAATGACAAAATATGCTGCCTAAGCAATGGAAAGTGTAGTTGGCTAAATAGAGATAGCTGTAGTGGTGTAAATAACTCCTCTCCAAAATTCCCTAATGAGGTTGGGGTTGTCTTGTAGCTATGCTATTCTGTAGCTATATTTTTGCCTTCAGAAATATGGGAGCAGAACACTGAGTGTCTGGAGTAAAAGCATATCCAGGATCATTGAAAGCTACAATATTTGAGGACTCAAAGGTTGCTGGCTTTTAGTAAAGGAGAGGTTAACTTAGTTAGTGCAGAAAAAAAGAGGTGATCCATTTTACATAAACTAGATAATATAAAAGGGAAAAGGCTGGAAAGGATATTCTGAGTAAAAGCTACTACAAGGGAACACCTACAGATGGTGGAAATACTGAAATAAAAACTTCATATCTGTAAAGCAAGAAGTTGGCAATAAAATGAAGATGACCTTGGAAAAAAGACAAGAGCCATCAGAGGTAGAGAGATCTAGTGATGACCATGATCATTTAACATTTAAACCTCTATTATCTTGCTAGACATTCTGCTAAAAACTGTGTCTTGTTAACTTATTAAATACTCAAAGGAAAACTCGATATGGTAGTTTCTAGTATTTTTCCCATCTTACAAAATAGAAATCTCAAACTCAGAGGTTAGGTAACTTATCCAAGGTCACAGAGCTCATAACTATGATTCCAAATCAGGTATGCCTGACGACAAATTACCTTTAAACACTGTTTTATCGCTCTTTTCATTTTTCCAGAGCAACAATGAAAAGTTATTTAAGCAAGGAGAGATTATAGAATGTGACTTGGAGACTTTTTGAGAACTGACCAACAGGGTCCATGGGTCATTAGAGAAATAACTTCCCAAAAGACGCCCCTCCTCCAGGCCGGCCCTTTTTTATTGTGAGCTGAAGTGTTGCTTGAATTGTCAGAGGGAAGTGGGGGAGAGGAGACTTTTTATTCTCTGCCTGCACACAATATTTAAGGGGGTTCTCTTCTAATTTCCCTCCCTGTGGCATAGTCACTGAGTGGCACCATATGACAATAGAGGGCCTGCTGCGGAGCTTGATGGACATGCATGATGACATCCGGATCCACGCCATCATCACGTGTGCCACAGCTGCTTTAGAACATCCCCGGATTGCCATCAGTCAGAGTGACTCAGGTGAGCATCAGAAAAAGACTGCTTGAGAATATAAGCAATATAAGCAAATAGAACATTTGTGCTGGTGGGGATCTTGGATCTTATCTGAGGTCATTTTACAAATCCAGAAACCAAGACCCAGAGACTGGCCTGAATATAGAGTTTATCAGCAATAGTGCTCAGATTAAAATTCTTGATTTCTAGGCCAGTTCTTTTTGTACTATATTTCATCTTTGTTCAGTGACTTGCAGGGAAGTTCAGTGTCCCACCTTGAGATATCTCCTTCGTTATAACCAAAATTACATACACACACATTCATTCATTCATTCATTCATTTATGGGTAGAAGAACCAGGGTATAGGCCAGAGGTGCCTGGGGTGAGGAGATTCACCATTGACAGTGTGGAGAGCAGAAGAGGCAGATTGACTGAAATAAACTGCTAAGAGGAGTAGCAGGCCACACAGGAGAGGCTGTGCCATATGTGGGTTAACTTCCTGAGGGTCAAAACACAGTGATAGTGCTGAAACTTAATCCATAGGCCACCAGGGAGGCCCCCAAAATTATATTTAAGCAAACACACATACTTCTTCCAGCTCCACTTTCTTTGATAGCACATCTCAAACTCAACAAGTCCAAAATTGAACTCATCATCCCTGCCACAGACCTCAGCCCACATTCCAAATGTCAGTCAACAGCCCCACAATCTATCTTTCTGATTCAGTCATTCTGGATATGTCATTTCTCTCCAATCGATGATGAAATTCTACTAATTCTGGACCTCCCTGGTGTCCTAGGGGTTAAGTCTCAGCATTACTGCCCTTATGGCCTAAGTTCAGCCTGAGTTGAACTGGGCCAGTTAATGAACCCAGAACAGACCTTTCCTCTTTCCGGCAGGCTTAGCAGTGTATTTTAGTAAATCTGCCTGTTCTGTTCCCCACTCTGTCTCTGGTGAATCCTCTCACCCCCTGCACCTCTGGCCTATACCCCAGTTCTGTGCAAAAATAAAAATGTAAAAACAACAAAAAAATTTTAATAAATAAATAAAAATAAACTCTACTAACTCTGCCCCATATTCTCACCTTTTTTAATTATAAAAGACAAACAAAACATCATTATTAGTCAACACACAAGACTACATAAAGAGGTAACTGTCTCTCCCTTCCTCTCTTCCCAGTCCTATCCCACCCATTGATATTTTCCCAGGGTAATTTGGCATTCCATCTCTCTCTCTCTCTCTGAGTTTACAAACAAGTGTCCACATAAAAGTGGGTTTTTCTATTTATTATAAAAATTGAGTGTTGAATTAACTCATACTTTCCAGTTTTTCCTGTAATTTGTGTATATGATGAATTTTGTTAAATTCCTTATAATAAATCCTAATGGATCACCATATATTATCCTTTTGTTACTCTGAAGGCTTGACCTGTTAATATTTTATAATGTTTTACTGCATTCATAAGTGAAATCAGCAGTTTTGTTTTTACTTACACTTTTTCTGTCAAGTTTTAGTTTTCTCTAGCTTTGTAAATTTAAAGACTTGGTCATTTTTTAATTGTAATCTTTTTTTTTTTTAAAGATTTATTTATTTGTACATACAGAACTGGCGTACAGGCCAGAGGCTCAGGGGCGGTGAGAGGCTTCACCAGAGACAGAGTGGGGAGCAGAACAGGCAGATCAATGAAGTACACTGCTGAGGGGAGCAGCGGGCGGGTCAGGAGAGGTCTGCCTCGCCATGTGGTCACCTCCGGGGCAGGCGGGAATCGAACTCATGCAGAAGTGGCTTTAGCTTCTCAGTGCTGTGCTTTAACCCGCTGCGCCACCAGGGAGGGCCATAATTGTAATCTTTTGAAAAAGAAAGGTCAGTAATTTTTTCTCCCCTAAAAAGTAGTTAAAAAGGAAAGTTTCCTATATAAGAGCCAGAACTGTAATCTATTGAATAACTGTTTTAGTAAGACTAAGTAGAACTCTCATAATGAAACTATAAAATTCTATTGAAAGGCCATAAAACCAACTGACTCTACTTACCCAAGCATCTTCTCTGACATTGCCTTTAATGTGAAATCTAGGCTGACACGTTTTCCTTCTCTGCTGCTGATCACATCCTAAATATTCTGTCCTAGCATTTATTGCTCTATGGTAATTGTCTATTTACTTTTCTTTCATCTCTCTCAGGCAAGGAACTCCTAAGAACAGATACCCATTTTATCTCTACCAAGCTGTCTGGTTCTTAGTTTTCCTTTACTTATTTCCTGTCTACTGAGTTCCAGATAGGTGCATTTCTCCTTCAGATTTTCAAATTGCTGCTTCCTTTGCTGGAAAGTGTTTCCTCTCTCTTCAGATTAACTTCTGCACTGGCCCTTCAGTGTTCAGTTCTGGTGTCCCTCCTCCCTGCCACGCAACTCTGACTTGGCTCACTGTCGCTGCTATACACTCCCACTCAGTTTGATTATAATTATTTCTTTGGGTTTTAAATAGGATGATGTGTTTTAAATTCCTGGCACATAGAGAAAAACTTAAATAGGCAGCAAAAGATATTATAATGTTATCCTCAAATCTTCCTCATACATTTGAAGGACACTTTTGTCTTCCCCCAGAAGGATTGTAACTTGCATATGATCCCTTTCATATGTTCTGGATGTCTAGATTGGATTTGTTTTGTTACCTCCACAGAGAAAATTATCTGACTCATTTCTTGAAATACTCAATTATTTATTCCTCTGAAATATACATATTCCCATTAAGCCAATTCTTTTTTTTTTTTTAAAGATTTATTTATTTGTACAGAACTGGGGTACAGGCCAGAGATGCGGAGGGTGAGAGGATTCACCAGAGACAGAGTGGGGTACAGAACAGGCAGATCGACCAGTGGGCGGGTCAGGAGAGGGGAGCAGTGGGCGGGTCAGGAGAGGTCTGCCTCACCATGTGGATCTGGACTGAACTCATGCGGAAGTGGCTTAAGCTTCTTTGTGCTGTGCTTTAACCCACTGCGCCACCTGGGAGGGCCACCATCAAGCCAATTCTTAACAGATACCTTATCACCCATGAAGGTGATAAAAGGGACTGATGATTAGAAATTCTAAAATCTTAGTGACAGGCCCAGCTCTGTTTTTTTGGGAAGTCAATCTCTCTGAGCACCAAATGCCTTATCTATAAAATAAGGACAGTTGTGGAAAAGCATAATCAATACATTTTCCCCTCCCACTTGAGAATTTGAGTTTCAGATAAATGCCTACCTGTTTCCTCTGATAACAATAAGGACAGGACATATCTTTATAAACAACAATATGATAAAAATGAACACTGAATAATGAAATATATTTGGGCTGGGAATAAGCTGATAGTGATACCATACTTTGGCTCTCCCTAAATGTTGTGAATTATAACAGGTATGCCCTTTATGAACCTTGAAATTACTTCTATTAGAGAGGTTATAAAGATATTCATTTCTATGAAATGTAAGTCTTGTGCCTAGAGTGGATTCCATACTCCCCAACTGTCCCCAGAAGGCTCCATAGATGCTGTAAAAACTGTTTCGAGAACTCTAGCCAAAAGTAACACCTGATATTGCCCTTTTGGCAAATGGTGCTCCATCCTGTGCCCCTGAAAACTGGTGCCATGTGTGGCCTATGATAATCTTATATGAGCCTGAAAATTGGTTAAAACTAAAGACACTCTGGTGAGCTCTATAGTAATACCAGTTTTCCCTACTTCTATAGTTAGAAAGTTGAATGAGATAATGAATATGAAAGCACTCTATAAATGGTAAAACAGTATCTAAATATAATGGTTAGTAATTAAAAATACAAAATAATTTTGTAGTGATTTTCATCACTAAAACTAATGGTGACGGTCACTATAACCTAGCTGGAAACATGTCTTTGGTTGGAAAATAGCTTTTTAGAGCCAGCTGAAAAAGGGTAGGAACTTGCATGCCCAGCACAGAAGTGAGCTGTAAAATCTTGCCCATTACAGGGGCTCAGCTAAACTCCATTAGAGACTGAGGCTGGACACCATGGGGAAGAAAGCTGCATTTCAGAGATAAGGGGCTAGTCCCCTCTTACCTGGCTCTCTCTCAACTACAGACAAGGAGACTGCGAAAGTCCCACCTATCCAGGACTTACCAGAGGTGCTACACCCTGCCCTGGAGGCTGCTCTTTGTGACAAGAATGCCAATGTGCGGATGGCAGCAGCGATATGCCAGTATGCCATACAGTCACATAATCCCCTTGCCCAGGACATCATGCAGACTGCCCTTTTGAAAGGTGAGAAACTCCCTGATACTTTTAATCTGGAACTAGGGGGTCAACAGAGGGTATCTCACCATCAGCTTTTCCTAATGTCTTCCTGTCATGCTCTGTGATGTCTCCTGTACTGGGTTTTGGTTTATTAGAACAGCTTTCTTCCCAGGTACATGTTACAAATTAGGTACATGCCACCAAATGCTACTTGTACATTTGACTAGAACCCACACCCTCTTTCACACAACTGTCAACAAAATGAAAAGATAATGGAACAATATTAAAGAGTACTTTCTGAAATTAAAAAGTCACCACTGAACACACATTTTTGCACATTCACTTCCAGGCATTATTCATGTGTATTGTTGGAGGAGTGCACTCAAAAAGGTTCTGTCAGGTGATAAGCCCAATGAGCCTAACTGCTCCCCTTGGGGAGAGGAGAAACTAGTTTTCCCAACCTCTAGGGGGAAGAACCAGCCAGACCAGAAGTGCCTTACTGCTCTGGTACCCAACATAAGTCTTTTAGGATTTGACTTCTCATTTTAAGATTTTTCAGTTTATATTGAAAGCCTTGATACAATCTGTTTAAATCCAGGGTTGGATCTCTAGACTGAGAGGGGCACAGGAAAGTGAGGTATCAAGCAGGTAGCAGTCTTGTGTACTAACTCAGAAACTGCTTTCTGGGGAACAACAGATTACCACTTTGGACTTTTTTTTTAACCTCCTGGCAGGTAATAGTGTGGATAGCTGGGCTGCAGCTCAGTGCTTGGCTGTGGAAGGTGCTGCCACTTACCCTGTGATTAAGAGGATCCTCCATCAGCTGTTTAACAAGAAGAATGAGGCCACTGAACAGCAGTCTTGTATGCTCCTGCGCCACCTCAGTGGGAAGACAGTAGGTGTTCACTACAGGGTCAGAAAAAGGAAAAAACCCGTTTTGGGGAAGCCAGTGGGTCACTGAGGCCAGTGCATGTAGGAATTAAAAATGGAAGTAGTTGGGTGGGATGGTGTCTAGCACAGATAAAACCAGACTCAGTGCAGGTGAACTGGTATAGGAAGAAGATGACAACAGCTCCTGAGAGAAAGGTGTACAGAGTAGGTTGCAAAAGGTTTTTAACTGTGTATGCAAGAAAAATTTTGATATATAAAATTTACTTTTGCTAGTTTACTACTGAAAACTGCAGAGACCTACAATGGAGTTTACTTTCAGTAGAAACATGAATAGATCTGAGGCATATACAAATCTTTTGGGGGATAAAAATAAAGTCAAGGGCCCTCCCTGGTGGTGCAGTGGGTTAGGAGCTAGCTGCAGCTGCTTCACTGTGAGTTTGATCCCCGGCCCTGGAGGTGACCAATATGGCATGGCAGACCTCTCCTGACCCACTCTCTGCTCCCCTCGGCAGCGTACTTCCTCGAACTACCTATTCTTCTCCCTACTCTGTCTCTGGTGAATCATCTCACCACCCCTGCACCTCTGGCCTGTACCCCAGTTCTATATGCATAAATAACTAAAAAAATTTAAAAAATTAAATTTGACAATTTCAAAGAATAAACATCAAAATTAAAAATAATAATAATAAAATCAAGAAGAGAAGACCCCAGAAGTATTCTGTCTTGATTAGTAAATCTGTATTTTGGTCCTTGACTTATGATCCTAGAAGTCTGATGGAAGACTATCCCATATCTGATAAACCCACTCTTTCCTTTGCTATGGCCAGCATCTCATGGATTTATAACATTAGGTATGCTGGATGCCATGCTAGGATGTAACTTCTTCAAAGTTCCAACATCTCTAAAAATGATCATGAGTATCCAAACAAATCTGTTTCCTCAGACTCTGGTAAACACCATGCTGGCAGTGGAGCTAAGTAGCCATCAGTGGAAGGATCGGATTATGGCCTGCCAGGCTCTCTCCTGGATTAATGGAAATGTCAGTTTGGTAAGCCTTCTCTCTGTGCTTCCAGAACACAAAGTCTAATCACACAGGACTGGGGAAGGCTTCTACTGTCTGCTGCAATCTAGAATCCCATTCTTAATAAAAAGGCCTTTGTTGCTACCTCTTGCTCCTAATCCAGAATTACTTTCAAATGCCAACACATATTTCTCTAGATGAAGCTGCTGTTTCTCAAATTTGGTGACAGTCCACAAACTATTTACAACCTATCCACAATGAAATCAGCAAACTGAGATGAACTGGTTACCCTATCAATCTATCACCTTCAAATTTTATAAAAGTATCAGTAACTACCTCCCATGCCCCCACACCCCCACCCCTGCCCCTGCCCTTCAGATTGAACTTGCATCACAGCTGAGAAGCCCTAACAACCCAACAAACCAACTTCACTGGAGACTCCGCTGGTTCTCCTGAGTGTTCAGCACATAGGGAGAAGGCATAGGTTTTACTTTCAGAAAACCTTCACAGAGCAACAAGACCAACATAAACAAATAACTCAAGAACAAGCAATAATTTAAGGTTAGCTCTTAAAACTCTTCAGAGATTAGAAGAAACCAAATTTATTAGTTAAAATTTTGTAAAGGACTTTGGGACAGCTGAACAAGACTGAAGAGGATAGAATTGAAGAGGAACTCCAGGCAAGGGGAAACTGACCATTATTTAGGCTTTTTCCTGACTTCTTTTTTGCCATTATTTTTATCTCATCTTCAGCTATCCAAATGGGACTTTCCCATTTCCTTCTAACACTTCCTCCAGGGTGGTCTAGAACTCTGTCAGCAATGAACACCCCCACATTTGGATGTGGGAAGCACAAAATCTAGCCATTAACTATTATTATCTGAAGACATTTTAATCGGGCTTAATTCTGCAACTGCTATAGGAAGTTCCCTGCTGCTGAAGTGTGGGGATCAGCAACACAGGTATCACTGGGGAACTTGTAAAGTATAAAATCACACCTCAAGTCAACTCAACCAGAAGCTGCATTTTAACATTATTCAATTCATTTGCACATTTATCTTCTTAGTAGTTGTCACTCAAGATTGTCAATTGAAAGTAAAAAATACTCAAAGGAAGGAGACAGGGTGAAGATGAGAACTGTATGTCAGACTGCTGGAGTTAAGAAAGCAGCACGTCTTTCAGTGATAAGGTGAATTAAGTGCCAGGATAACGTACGACACAGTGATTATAGTCAACACTACTACATGATATATATGAAAATTGAGACTAAATCCAGAGTTCTTATCATGGAGAAAAACATTCATTTCTTTCTTTTTTTTTTTTTTAAATATCTATGACATGATAGATGTTAACTAAATTTACTGCAGTAATCTTTTCCTGTTGTACCCCTCATATATTGATATATGTCAATTATATCACAATGAAAATGGGGGATGGGAGGCACGTAGGGAGTGAAAGGCAGAATGTCTATCAGTTCTTTCATTCATTTAGTAATCAAGCAGTTTCTCACCATATTCTAGATGTTAGGCACCATTGTCTTCCAGAGTGAGTGGTATAAATAGCTGTAACAGAAGCAGCAGTGAGGTTTTATAGGGATTTCTTGTTGACAGATGGCAGAGAAGAGTTCACTGAGGAGACGCTTTTTGAGCCAAACTCTAAGAAACGAGTAAAAAATATCAGGTACTCAATAGGGATAGCAGGAGATGTTTCTGGTAGCTTGGTCATATTTATACAATCATCTACAGTCATCATAATCTTTGTCCCTTCACCCATGACCCATGAAGTACTAATCTATAGAGAAGCAAACTGTCCTGTTTGCCCAAGACATGGACAAATTGTTAGTACTTAACTCAGAAAAATTCCAGGCAAAGTGGGATGATTTGGTCATCCTAATAATCTATATCTATCACCTTAAAATTTTAAGTATCTCAAGTGCAGATTACATTGGTCCCAACACAGTATCATACTTTAAAGTATAAGCTTAGAGAGCCCACCGTGGTGGCACAGGGGGTTAGAGTGCAGCAAGGCAAAGCTGGCTGTGGCCACCTCAGTGCAAGTTCCATCCCTGCCCCAGAAGTGACTCACATGGCACAGCAGACCTCTCCTGACCTGCCAGCTGCACCCCTCAGGAGTGTACTTCAATCAATCTGCCTATTCTGCTTCTCACTCTGTCTCTGGTGAATGCTCCCACCACCCCTGCACCTCTGGCCTGTACCCCAGATAAGTATGCATAAATAAATTTTTAAAAACTTAAAAAAAAAAAAAGTATAAGCTTGGAAAGCAGGCCTGCCTCTGAGTCCTGGTTCTAGTACTCAGCAAGAGAACCTTGGCAAGTTAACGTAAGCCTCCATTTTATCATCTGTAAGTGGTACTATTGACCAATGCCTCACTGAACAATTTGGGAGGATTAAGTACAGTACTAAGTACAAAACTGATGTTCAATAAATTATGGATAATTATTACACACTTATAGGATATGAAACATAAATTGATCCAGCTAATGTGGAGTGACTGGAATAAGGAAGTGAGAAAAGCAGCTGCCCAAGCTCTGGGACAAATGAATCTTGGAAAAGAGGTGCATGACACCATTAGGTAAGACCTAATTAACACAGAGGGAAACTTTTCTGTCCTTAAATGTGTTCAAGGGGCCTGGGATCCAGCCAGTCAGCTTTTGTTAAATTGTGTTGTATGCTCAGTATTGTACTAAATGCCACCAGGATTATTAAAAAATGAAACAAAAGCAGTCACTATAGACATTAACAATATGGTTAAGGAAAGAATCATTAATTTAGTCCCACTATTTTGGACATTTGAGGGAGTTCAAAAGTATGACATCATTCTGATTATACAAATAAGTAACACAAACACCTATTGAGATCAAATTTCATGGGGGATATAAGACTGTACAGGGCAGAGAAGAGATTCCAGGCTGCGACCTAGTTGTGGAAATGAGCATGGTACAAGTGAGGGCAGTGGAGAATTTGACTATGACAATAGGTACATGTTGAAAATGTCCTTTATTTATTACTTTACAGTAAGTAATAGGGATTCAAGTAAATAAGATAGTTGAGGACTCTACTCACTGAAACCTAATCTAATAGGTATAAAACTAACTAGGAAAGGGTAGGACTAGATGGAGAGCCTAGAGGTTGGATTCTATCCTGAGGGTATCAGTGGGGAACAAGGATGTGGGGGGGAACACCAAAAGTTAAAGAAGGGAAAATAAAAACACCTGTGTTTTACAGAGTCAAGCTGGGTCAAGGAAATTCCCAGGAGCGTGTGGAAGCTCTCACCCTGATTGGTGGGCTCAAGCTCATGACCGCCAAGCTCCTCCCAAATTTCCTGAACTGCTTCTCTGATGACTTTATGGCAGTTCGGTGGGCAGCCTGTCAGGCAGCCGGTGCCCTGCAGATCCGGGATGAGCTGGTGAGTCAAGGAATCATATTCCCATCTTACATGATTAAGATAGAGAGGGCAACACTGTTGCATATCATTCTCTCACTATGCTATAAGGACAGAGATAACAGAATTAGGACGGTGAGAGATATAAGCCAGACCTATCAGTTAGGACCACATTAAATTCCCAACGTCATGTAAACTATAGCTCTGAATCCTTTCTCACCTCAACTTGCTTCTCATTACATGGATGTTGATGGGCTTTAAGATCAACTCTAGTGAACTGAGTTATATCCCCGCTATTAGAAGAAAACCTGATAGAGATGTTCAAATAAGGCACAGATCTGTAAGTCGAGAATATCAATCTACAAATATAATTCAGGTAATATGCTGCATGTGCATGCTAGTACTCCTGGTTCCAGCTCACTTGTTACTAGAGTTGATGAGTCATTTTTCAGTTACAGCACATTTTAGAGACAAAAGGAGTCACTGTCTGTAGTTCATTCTTGCTCTGGATCTCTCCACTCAACACTGCTTTTTATTCATCGCAGGTCCTTGAATGTCTTCAGAATCTGATACAGACGGATCCTTGCTGGAAAATCAAGGCCATTGCCATTCGAGGTATTATAGGAGTGGCCCCAGCTCTTCAGCCTGAAATACTTTCCCATGTATCAGTATAGATGATCTCCAGAATCTCCCTGGGAATGGGTTAGAGTATAGGGAAAGGGATGATCACAGCTTCTCAGAGGTTCCTTGCCTGGTAAATTAAAGATTATTTTCCTCTTTCTAATTTTTAGTTGAGGATCCCAAGTTTAGGTCTCTTCAAACTTAAGGCAAAGAGCTAAGACTGTCCCTGCCAACAAAACTAGGTAGAAGTCCTAAGTAGATGTCCACCAACATTACTTAGGTTTCAACTACAGGACCCTATAAAAATCAGACCAGGTTCAAGACTGCATGAACTAAAGCCCTGCCCTAAAACTTCCTTTGAGTTTCTTTTTAGGGATCTTTGCCTCTGTTTCTCTCTGACAGTTTTTAGTGGGTCCCTAGAAAAACCAGTCCTCCCAGAATCCTTTGGAAATCATGTCCTATTCTAACCCTTCTCTAAAATTTTAATGGTAGCTGTCATTCAAAAAGAAACAGGCAAAGTACTTAGTTTACCACCTACCACCTTAATTTAGAGGTGGCAGTTATACCTTATTATTTATTGATAAGGCCATTTCTGGATTCATCGAGATGGCCAATTTGCCCTCTAACTTCTGCAGCTTTGGGACAGATTGGCCAAGTGAGTCCCCAGCTAACAGAGCTTCTGCTTTGGGCTATCCACTATGAAGAGTCACCAGGTGTACGGCTAGAAGCTTGCCGCAGCATTACTGCCCTTAAACTTCAAGGAGATCGGGTCAGGGATACCTTCCTAGACGTGCTGATCCTAGAGAATCATGACGCTGTTCTAAAGTAAGCACTAAACCTCTAGTTACTGCCATGACCCCTTGCACTGTCAACTCCCCCATCCTTGCTTTATTACTTGAAGTACCATTGCCTAACATTAATAAGTTTCAGGAGTACATCATTGAAAATTATATGTATAAGCCCTCCCTGGTGGTACAACAGGTTAAAGCGAAGCACTATGAAGTTGTCAGGAGCCACTGCAGCGTGAGTTCGATCCCCATCCAGGGAGCTGACCCACCTCTCCTGACCTGCCTGCTGTGCCCCTCAGCAGTGTATCAGTCATTCTGACTTTTCTGCTCCCCACTCTGTCTCTGGTAAATCCTCTCACCCGCTACACCTCTGGCTTGTACCCCAGTTCTTGTATGCATAAATAAATAAATCTTTAAGAGAAAATTATATGTATACTACAGTAAGCCCATCACTCAGTCGAGTTCTATCCTTCACCACACAATTGTCCCCTTTTACACACTCCTCTCCATCTTTGTTAACAGAATATACCCTTGCCTTTCTTTCTCTAGCTGCCTAATAGCTCAATAGCACAGGCTTGCCATTCATATACTTAACCCAAGTGAGTAAAAGAAAAGCTTGCCTAAATTAGATTGAAGGCCAAGTTCATGCACCTCTACTCCAGGCAGTTTTAAGCTACTTATGTATTCAGTAACATTTATCAAGTGCCCATTTAGTACACACAGATTTTAAATACCAGCTCAGACACACATTAACTTTGAGTTTAGGCAAACTACTTAAATTCTCAGCCCATTTTTCAGGTATCAAATGCAGATGGTACTCTCTTATAGATCTGTGGTGATTAATGAAATGTCATGCTTAATTACCTGTCATAAAGGTGTTTAATAAGTGTACATTCAAATGCATCATCCAGAAAACTGCACATCCCTATAAGTACACTATTGCTATTTTTGCAAATAAGCTCAGCAAAACCACACAGAATTAGTGACAGAGCGGGAGGCAGAACAGGCCGACTGACAAAGTACACTGCTGAGGGGAGCAGCGGGTGGGTCAGGGGAGGTCTGCCATGCCATTTGGGTCACCTCCAGGGCCAGGGATCGAACTCATGCTGAAGTGGCTTTAGCTTCTCAGTGCTGTGCTTTAACCTGCTGAGCCACCAGGGAGGGCCCCCTCTGTGCTTTTTTAAAAAAAAAATTAGGCATACAGAACTGGGGTACAAGCCAGAGGTGCTGGGAGGTGAGAGGATTCACCAGAGACAGAATGTGGAGCAGAACAGGCAGATCAATAAAATATACTGCTGAGGGGAGTAGCAGGCAAGACAGGAAAAGTCTGCTGTGCCATGTGCGTCACCTCCAGAGCCGAGGATTGAACTTGGACTGAAGCGGCTGCAGCTAGCTTGCAGTGCTGCGTCCTAACCCGTTGCACCACCAGGGAGGGTCCTCCATGTTTTTTTTTAAGGATACGAAGACTAATCTAAGAAGTCCTTATCTTTCAGAGAAATTCACCAGGCAATGAAGATACTCAACTTAGAAAAAGAAGGAAACCAAGAAATGCTTCAAGAGATCAAGAACAAGGTAGATGAATGCAAGCTTAGCAAGAGTAATTTCAGTGTTCTCAAAAGTTCTTTAGAACTTCCCCATCCCAAGCAGGTATAAACCCCTTACCCCATTACATTAATATTTTCTCTAACCCTGTCTATTAGGTTGTTGGAAAAGTCATGACATTTTTTTTTTCTATTGTAAAACAGAGAAAAAAATGTGTTGTGACAACCCAGTATATCATTTGAAGAAGCAAAACAACTCTTTACAAGAATAGGACTGTAAAATCCTAGGAAAAATCTGATCAAATATTGTGTTATCAAGTACTCCTCAAAATCAGGGTTTGTTATTGTTGCTTCTGAAATACTGCTTCCTTCCCTTCCCACTTTCTTTCTATCACCATCCCTTAAATCCAAGTCTTTCCTTTTTTGCAGACAGACATAAAGAAGGGATGAGGGACTAGGGCTGCCACTCCTAGCTACTAATCTGGGCTCTTGCCCCAAAGGAATGCTCTAACTAAACAGGTGGTTCTAAGTTCTCAAAGTTGCTAGAGATGAGGAATATAGGCGAAAAGGTAAGACTCTTGCCTCATGTAAGCCAATAAGTATTTCTTAGCAGTTTCCTTTTATCATGCCCAGAAAATTAAGTAAAAACTTCATTAAGAGGCATAAAACACATCCAACTATAATCACAAGAGAATAATGCTCTCACTTTCGCACCACCCCCTTCCAAGAAGTACATGTAGGAAGTTCCTTTATTAATGTTTTTGGATGTTTTGCAGCCTACTGTAGTTTTTTTCAACTTCATTTGTACTAATTTAGATTCAAGTGCTGAGCCGAAAGGACTTGCTGACACAGAAAATATTAAAGATTGAAAAGGTCATAGGAAAGGTGAAGGAGGAAGCAAAACGTATTTACCTTCAACCCAAAGAGGGGCAAAACCCATTGAAACTACATACTTTACTTCAAAAAACTTTTCAGGGTAAGTCTCCTAGAGCTGAGTCCTGAGCATTGACCAAGCTTTACTAGACCCAGGGTATTTTGCCAAATAGTTGAGAACCGTGTAAGATGATGAGTGGTAACAAAGCCTTCCTTTCCTTCTAGATCATCATACGCTCAGTTCTTTGGTTATTAATTTCCTGCCTTATGTTTTTATTTTATCCCTTAAGAAAATGAGGTGGCTGTTTGAAATGGCATAAAAATTGGATCATAAAAGGCCCTAATAGGAAAAACAATTGTGTGAATGTCTGGTTAAGCACCTCTTCTCACCTCAAAGTCTTGAAGCTTAATAATGGTTACTCCTAAGAAGTAAGGTTGGAGGGAAAGCTGTCACTTTTCCTTTTTCTATATATCTGCTTTTGCAACTTAAAAAAGACTGTAATAAAGTTCTGTTTTATATAACTGAACCTAGGAGTTGTGATGTTAGCATCTGAAAAAGCTCCAGATACAACCTAAAGATGAGGTATGAACATCAAGTTATACCAAAATATACTTACAAAATCTGTGTGCCCATGCGTAGCAGCAGCTTCAGGTCATTCAGACAGCTGCCCACCAGCCACCACCCCAAACCCAGGTTCTTCTGATTCCAAGTCCAGTGCTCTCTCTGGTACACCAGGCTCTTTTTCACCAACCATGAGAATATTCACTTGCCAGATTTGGGGAAGTTTCTTCTAACTGCCAGAAAAAGATGAGAGTGGAAAGTAACTTGGACACCAGCCTTCCCTTGTGGCCAGCTTGCTACAAATTGGTCGGCTGAGGCCTATGATAGCACAACTAGATGACATACTGACTCTTTGGGAGAGGCTTCAGCCACTGATACAAGCAAGCACTGAGCAAAAACAATATATGCTTAAAACAGACTCATAGCTTTTCTTAGATGGTGATGTTTGGGGCTCAAGTAGCATGACTAAAATGAGTAAACTGCCCCCAAAGTTACAGAATTGGCCCCAGGCCTATGGCCACCCTGTTAGTTTTTACCTCAGTTATTACATCACACTCCCCCAAGCCCCCATCCCCCGCAATACACATTTCTTCAAAGCTTGCCACATAATAATCTAGCTTTAGAAAAAAGAAAACATTCTTTGGCACTTTAATAACTTTTCTAACATTCATACAAACTCACAATAACCAACAGGATACTAACCCAACCCTCACCCCCCTCCCCCAACTGATGAACTCAAATGAAGATGCAAATTCCAAAAACAAATTTCTAATATCTCAAGCAGAAAGACGCAGCAAGTGCTGCACAGTACACTGAAGCCTGAGAGTAATGTTGAAGATGGTGTTCAAACGATCAGCCATCAAGGTTACTTTTGCAGAAATGACTCCATTTTTCCAACTCTAACTTCTGCTTTTACTTTTATGCCTAGATGAGATATTTCCTGGAAGACCATCTGAGTTTTATGACACTGAAACACTCATAAAGGTAAGTGTGAGAACAATGATGGTTATCAAGGTTAACAATGTGAGCTTAAAAAAAAAAGTGGTCGTTGTAAGAAAGGATCACTCCTGCAATCAACAAGAAATCAGTTCAGCTGAGAGGCATCTTGGTGAGCAGCAGCCCCTTATCATATAACATAGTTGCCAAGGACAGCTGGTCCTCCACACTGTCACAGGGTAAGTCCCCTACTCTCACAAACTCTGGGTAGGAGCGAAGCAAGAGTTCCATAGCATCAGCTTGCTGGGGGTAGATCTCCAAGCACTTGGGTTCTTCTAGATGATACACTCGGGAGTTTTCCACTGTGTAATAAAGAAACAAATGGCCTCCTTCACCCACCAGACGAGCTATTCCATCCTGAAGCATGTGCACTTCTGTTTCTGTTGTCAACTGGGCCCCCACGTTTACAGGTTCTCCAGCCTCCCAGCGAATCGGAAGCCCATAAACACTTAGTGCTCGCTCCCTGTCACTCAACACAGGGGGCAGAGAATCGTGGATGAAGTCTTTAGCTCGCTGGTCAGCCACAGCATCGACAGGGGCAAAGTGTCCCAAGCGGGCAACCAAGACCCGCACCTTCTCCATGAATGCGGTTCTTCGAGGATCTTTAGAATCCGAATGCTGGGCCCCCATGTAATCCATGAAGTCTCGGGGCAGACCCCGACGAAACTCCACATTTTCCTCCATGGCAGCCTGCACTGCCAGAGGCAGTACAGCCTCCAGGAAGTCACCCCAAGTATTACGCTGATATGTGGACAAGGTGAGGTGCAAAGAGTGGACTCCGTCCTGGCATTCGGCTTGGTGAATGAAGCCACGAGGAAAATAGAGCAAATCTCCAGGTTCCAGCACTGTCTGCAGTACAGGCTCACCCAGGTCGTCCTGGCTGAAGTTGGGACTGGATGTCAGGGCTAGTTCCTCAGTCGGAACCCGGGGTCGGTAGACGCGCCAGAGTTTTCTACCTTCTAACTGCAGCACAAAAGCTTCGATGTCGTCGTAGTGTGGAGCAAAGCCTTGCGAGTTGGGGGGCGTGAGATAAACGTTGGAGCCTGCCATGCTACCAAATTGCTCCTGGAGCACAGCCAAAAACTGCCACACAGTGGTCGAGAAAGCCTGCGGGCAGAGGAGGCGCAGGGAGCAACCAGCCTGGTACAGGGACCACGCAGCAGCGGGCAGAGCGCGGCCGGGAGGGTTCAAAGTCTCGCGCCGCCCGTTGATGTAGCGTGCAGCGTCCAGGTGCTGTCCAAATTGCACCTCCTCGTTGCGCAGCATAGAGTCCAGGTCAGCGGTAGAGAAGAGACCCTGGTAGTAGGTGTGGTCCTGGCGCCGCACCAGCACCGCCTCCCGCTCCCACAGGCGCCGGTAGAAATGGTCTGGCGGCATGGGCGCGATGAGCCACTCAAAGAGGCGCGCAGCCCGCCGCCGGCTGCTGGGGATGCGGTTCAGCTCCGCCAAGATGCGCTGCAGCGGAGAGTCCCCGCCCGTGCTGTCCCCCGGAACCCCGGACAACGTCGCGGCGGCCACGGAGGGCGGGGCGGCCGCCAAGTGCTGGGCAGAGCACAGAAGGGCCGAGGTGTCCACCACGCGGGCCGGCGCAGCGGGCATCTCCACCAGGCGCGCGGGCGGCGCCGATGCCGGCACCAGACGCGCCGGCGGAGTCTGCGCCTCCACTAGGCGCGCGGGCGGGGTCTGCAGGGAGCGGGACGCCGGCGAGGCTTCCAGCAGCTCTGCAGGCCCGAGGTGCCCGTAGGACTCTCGCCGGACCGCGTCTGGGATGGTCGCCGCCCCACCGGACAGCGGGTCCCCGGGATCGTCGACCGTCGACTCCACTCTCGAGTCTTCCGAGTCCTCACTCGGCAGTGTCTGGGCCCTCAGTGCGGCCATGCGGGACGCAACACTTCTCCTCAACTGCCTCCGGATCTTCCTGGGCCTCAAAGGGAGGGCCAGGACCGACCCGCTGTGTGGCTGCGGCTGGCGCCGGCGCCTCGACCGCCCACGCCTCAACAGCCCGGCGCTGGCCCGCAGCCCGTCCATGATCCGACCCTCTTCGGAGACCGGCAGGATCTGCCGAGAAACCGGTTCGAGCCAAACCGGCTCGCTCGGGCCGCGGCTGCGGTGTACTCTGGGAATGGGGCGTGGCCTCCAGCCACCTCTGGAGGCCACGCCCACTACTCTTTCTCCGGTCTTTGGCTCATCCTTAGCTAGTGCTGTTCTAAGTACCTGGATTCATAATTAAGCGGCGAAGTTCCAATCATTAAGATTTCTTTTGCAGAAGGTAATTTAAAAATCAATCCTAACAAAGGAAGTGGCCACTTAAAAAAAAAAGATGTATTTATTTATGCATACAGAACTGGGGTACAGGCCAGAGGTGCAGGGGTGGTGAGAGGACTCACCAGAGACAGTGGGGAGCAGAACAGGCAGATCTATGAAGTACACTGCTGAGGGGAGCCGCGGGTGAGACTGGAGAGGTCTGCTGCGCTATGTGGATCCTCCGGGGTGGGGATCGAAATCGCATTGAAGCTGCATGGCAGCTTCCTAACCCATTGCTGCTCCAGGGAAGGTAGAAAGTTAGTACTTAATTCTTGTTTTCTGTATGTTGTGTTCTCCAAGACATTTCGGAACAGCTTGTTCCCAGGCAACTTTGCACAGGCAAGTTGCACAGTTCTGTTTTCAAGGACTACCCTCTGCAAAGCTTGAGATTACCGTCAAAACTGGGGGGCAAGGGGGCACCCAGCTCTCTTTACTCTGCAGATGATGGCATTCATTGAAGCTCCATCTAAGTTCCTCTTCCTAATTTACCTGCATCCTCACTCAGTCACTGCCCTCTCAGAAAAAGAAGCTATTAACTTTTCAACTGCATTCTCCTTGGGATTTTGTTTTGTTAGCTACAATATCTGTCTTCAGGATTTTCAACCTCACCTCATCTGAATCTGGAATTTACCTCTTAAATTGGGACCTCTCATTTAACAGACACCACATAGACATGAGGATGCAATTGTGGAGAAAAACAAGTCCTTGTTATTGTTACTGCTTTATACATAAAGATTACTTGTCTCATAATTTAAGATAAATTCACAGGAATAGAATTGCTGGGTCAAAAGACAGATATGTAATTATTAATAGATTTTACCAAACTTGCACCGAAAGAGTTTACAATACTGCAAGCAATTCTGAGTATACTAGACTACATGGCATCCGAAGACTTTAGGTGGTTCTGTCTGATCTTTCAGTCCTCTTCCTCAGTCACACACCTACCCAAACACTTGTCAGATCCTTTAAATTTTACTGCTACCCAGGTACCGTATATCTGCTCTTTTTTATTCCTTACAAGGTATATCATCATTATTCTCAACTGCCCTATCACAAATAAGTATCCAATCCAAAACATCAATAACTGAGGTCTATTACAACTAGTCTTTTTAACTTTAATCTCTCTCCTGTGCCAGTTTATAGCACAGGTAGGTAATTACAAAATAATTTTCTCAAATTGTTTGCCCAAATCTGCCATCACCCTACTCAAAACTCATCTGTGTGCCCTGTCAACAATCCCAGCCAGGGACTTATCAAGTAATGTAATGTTCCAGCCAGATCAGCCACAACTCCCCTAACCACAACCCCTACAAGTTAGAGTGTTTCCTGTTCTTTGCCTGTGTTCCCCATACCTTTACTTATGCTATTGCCTCTAAATGCATCTTCTTATCATCCTCTTCTATCAAAACCATAATTAAAGCCTAGTTGACATCCCGCCTTCTCCCTAAAGACTCTCCATATCTCCCTAACCATGAGAGATCTTGGACCTTTTCACATGAGTTTAGCATATTATTCTTTGTATTAGTGTATCTATTTTAACTTACCTTTCTAAACTTTTGAAAGCATAAACTCCTTAAAAAAAAAAAAGACTTCTGTATACCTTTTCCTCTTGCTTTTAATACACTTCTTTTCACATAGAAAATGCAGTGGGATACCTTTGGGGATATTTATGTATGTGACAGTGTTTATGGGTTTATCCATATACCATCCATGTGCTACTGAAAAAAAATTGGGGGG